GGGGGGGGGGGAGTGGGCCCATTCCCTTCTCCCTCGTCCAGATGAGAAACAGAGGTGGGGCTAGACAGGGGGGTGGGATGTGGAGCTGCTGGGCCCTAATAAAAGCTGGCAGGGAGGAAATGGGAGGGGTATGGTGGCGGCACCCTGCTGCCACCCCCCCCCGACAACAACCCTGAAAAGGGAGGGGGGCAGAAATCCTGCCTGGACCCAAAGCAGCAGGGGCAAGGGTGGGGGGAGCAGGCCCATACGCAGGACTCTGTCCCCGCCCTGCCATGATGGCAGGGAGCATGCCACTGCTGTCCCGCCACATCCTGACAAAAGCTGGCAGAGAGGGTGAGGGAGGGGAGCAGGAGTGAGGGGCACTGTGACTGTGCCATGCCAACAGCTGGAAGGGAGGGAGGGAGGGGAGCAGGGAGAAAAGGCAGGTGGATATGGGCCAGGCGAACCTGGAGGGAGTGGTGCTGGACCCAAAGCAGGGCAGGGAGGGGGCGCGCAGGATGAATGGACACGGGCCTCTGTCCCCGCTCCCCCATCATTCTTCATGTACAATTGGCTACTCTTATTATAATCCCCTTCCCAGTCAAAACTCTTCCAAATAAACTATGTAACACACCGTTGGGATGCCAGTAGGTCCATAGCTATTCCATTTTCAGCACATCCCTCAAGCGGAAAAAAAAAAAATGCATCGAAACTGCCATTTTACTCAACGTTTTCTGAACTGTACATGAGGCAAGTTGGGGACTGATGTACTACATACCATTTCATTGGCTTGTAGTGTTTGTGCATCTTTGGGAAATGCTGTACTCCTTTTTCTGTCATCCAACTCTTCTGCCTCCTTAACCACCTTCTCTTCAGTCTCCTCTTCCTCCTCCTCCTCATTCTCTTCCGCCATGTGCCCATGGTCCTCATTGTAAATAACTCTTCTGGGAGGAAGTACACGTGCAAACCTATGGGAGCTCTTCACAGAAATTTAAAGGGACAGTTAATATTGCCTTCTTTGACTTTCTTTCCCACTGCAAGCAGAAGTCATCATGTGAAATAGGATTCGTGATTACAAGACTAGGCCCACAGCATCAGCCAAATTTGTTTTTACTGCCTTTGCTGAAAAGTTGAGACTGACATAGAACAAGGCATTTTTTAAATCAGACAGTGGCCTAGGGAATCTCTGCCATTCCTAAGAACGCATTTTTAAGCCTCTTGTTACTTACACAAAATAAATATAATTATGAAGAGCAAACTGCTTCAGTCCATGGAAGCAGCCTTTGGCAACAAAGCCAACAGCAGGAAGGGTCAAGCGCTTACCTTAATATCAATTTCAGCTTCATCTTTCATAGACTTCTCATTAGCAACATCAATGTCCCCAAAGATTAAGGTCCCATTCCGACCAATTTTCACTTGTTTTTTGTACGTGTAATAGAATTCCACACACTGTGCCACTGTCTTAGTTTTAATCTGATGTTAAAAACAAAACAACAACACAAAACAAAACATTGCACAAGCATAAAGGTAAGACTTTTGTTTTTAAGAGTAAGCAAGTAATCATGAACACATTAATGCAAATTGCATTTGTTCCAATTTCTTTCTATTGTACTGTTTTTACCTGAATCCAAGACAACTTCGAATTTAAGATGACCTCCCAAATAATTAGATTCTAGGCATGGAAAAAATATATAAGTTTGTTAAAGTTTTCTATGTCTAGAATCTAATTTTTGGAGGGTTGTCTTAAATTCACCCCCCCTGCCACTGCAGTGGGGTAAGCAGCTGCAGCGAGATAGATGGAGGGGTGCCAGGTGGTGGGGAACCAAATGGCCTGACTCCTGCACCTTACTGCCTGGCTCCTCCAAAACTTGCCCCACCAGCTGCCTAAATGGGGGAGAGGGGGGAAACCTTGTCTTGAGTAAATATATCACAGTTCTTTTAAACCCTTTATCTTGTATTAATTTTCTACCTTAAAGCCTCTTATTTAGCCTCTGCTTTCCCCTTAATTCAATAGGAACATTCTCTACTCAATATTAAATTTTGTAACCAGTTCACTTAATTGCCACCTTACACAGAACACACACTATATACATATATTTATTTGTATATACATACATATACATGCATACAAATACATAAATATCATTTTAAAGATCACCTTATACAGAATATATGTATATTCTGTGTAAATTAAGCTTTGAATATACTAATGAGGGAGACTGGACTAACAAATGGGAAAACAAGTCAGGAAGTCCTGGGGGTCATTTTTTTTTTTTTTTTTAAACAAGTTTAATGTTTAGTACCCTACATTTCTCTGAGACTTCCTCCTAAATTTGGTGACCACTGCTAAGTCTGGTCATGTGAATTTTTAGGACCCACTGAAGACAGAACTCTCCATTATGACCCCACTGAGTGAAATATTCTAAAGATGTAAGTAAGTATAGTTCCTGATCCAAGTAAATGCAAAGTAACTTACAAGTTTCTGGACCAGGAAAAAGTCTTTCTTATAGATTGCAATGCCTTTGTTGAAAAGTTTCTTCTCTGCAACTTTCCACTTGTCTGATCCTGTAGGTACACAAAACAGACATTTTCATTTCAAGTCATTTCTCACTATCTCTCTTTAGGTTTCCTTTACATAAAGCCAGCCTAAAATGTATCAATTAGCTGAATATATAATGCACATGCCATATTATACTATTTTTACCTCTGTCATGCCACATACCATTCAGAATTTCCCACTTTCCCTCTCACATTTTCTTTTCTCTATAGATCAACAATTGAATGTACTCTGCATGCCTGTTAGAAGTGTCCTATCTAGAGGGGTGAGCATATCAACCAAGGTGCTATTCTGGTGAACTGCAGGAAAAGCTATTACATTTCTTTCTGCCCTCAGATCAATCAGGTATGTAGAGCTAACTCAATCATGGAAGTTACTACCTTGCAACACTGTCTGAATATAAGGGCTGACACAGCAGCATCAGACACTGCAGTTTTGCTTTCATAGAGGAATTAGTTAACAGCCTGTTCTCGCTACTCTCCAACTTCCTATCATAGGCAGCACAGGCAGTGAGGGGTTAGACTTCCAGCAGAACTCCCTCAATTCCCTTCTCCAAATTCATGACATGGAATGTGCAGTTCCAAGATTAGACTTTCCATCCATCATCTAACAAGCTTCCCCTGGCATCTTTCTGTAGCTTAGTCTCAGTGACTAGTTATCACTTTTCCCTGAAAGGAAGTCTCTGATCACAGACACATGACTTATTGATAAATGAATTTAGGATTTGCAAGTGCATGAATTCACACACCACATGTAAGTCATGGCATAGCAAGGGAAGGTTCCCTGCAGTACATCAACTGGTCTGGAAGTTAAGCATTTTCTGACTTCTGTTATAAGTCTATATAGATAAGACAGGAAGAAATCCATTACTGTAGATCAGCTACCAAAGAGACAAAAAGGCAGCAGCTCCCATTCAGAATACCTGTGTAGTGGTAGTCAGCCAAGGGATGGACTGGTGGTCGCCCTGGCCCCGTCAGCAACAGTTTGCCCAAAGCAGCCTAAGAGACAGCACAACAGCAGAATTGGTTTCATGTAAAAAAAAAAAAAAAAAAAA